GACATGCCTGAACCACCTCAACTGGCTCCTCTTTATGTGGAGGAGCAGCGGTTCTACTCTGTGTCTCTCCCAGACAACTGAATTTCTCACCCTATCTCTAAGGGAGAGTCCAGCTATCCTGCGGAGGAAACTCAATTCAACTGTCTGTATCAACAATCTCATTCTTTTGGTCACTACCCAGAGTACGTGACCATGGGTGAGGGTAGGAATGTAGACTGACCGGCAAACAGAGAGCTTTGCCTTACAGCTCAGCTCCCTGTTCACCACAACGGACCGGCACAGAGTCCGCAATACTGCAGACACTGCACCAATCTGTCTGTCAATCTCACGCTCCGTTCTTCCCTCACTTGTGAACAAAATCCCAAGATCAAATATTTAAATTTGAATATTGAAGAATTATAGATGTAAAGTCAACATGTATTAACATTTTAATGAACATCTACTTTGATCAGTGTTGGAAGTGGGGCAAGAAACTCTTGTTCAGTTAATGATTGGAACAAAATGAGGCTTCAGAGATGCTATGACCACTTTGGAGGAGACTTGTGTGGTATTTTGCAAAGTTTGTACTATTTGCTTCTTTAAGAGATCCAGTTTTAATATATGAAACCCGCACTGTTCACATCTGTTTACTCTCCTGCTGCCATTTCTTCACCCAGTTTTTTATTCACACATTTCAACAATCTCCAGGTCCAGGTTATACTTCAGATGAGGGTGTACTGTTATAAATTCTTCTTGCATTACAGACAAGTAGGCACATTTTATAAAAAAACAAGGTGGCACATAGCAGAAGAGCACCTGTTTTACTGTGTAATCCTGTCAATGGGGAACATATTGGCCATCAGCTCAATAACTTCACTACATGTTGACGTTATGTCTGTGGGATAAAACTCTTAAACTTAACATTTTTTTCCCTCTGGCAAAAAAACTCTTCAGTAAAATAGGTATAGTTGCTAAAGACTGCACTGCATGGTGGTGAAACCACGTTTAAACCACAAAAGGTGAACAAACCCAGTATACAGGTGGTTTGTTGCAGTGGGTGCATGAATTCTCAGGTTGTGATGGAAACATGATCAAAGATGTTACACAGATTTTACCTCAGCTGAGACAGTACAATACACATTAACTACATTTTTAAAGATAAGATAAGATAGAACTTTATTTATCCTACAGGAAATTGTTAATTGTTTTAAAGAAGGCAAGGGGTATTACATTAGACAAATGCATAAAATAAACAAGACAGATTTCCATGAAGGGATGCTGTCGCCTGTCGCTTGTCATGCCACAGTTTCAGACCGAGATCATCGTATGTTTAGAAATGAAATATTTGTAATTATTTTGATCAAACCTTTCAAATAACATTACGCAAAATCCCATGAAACATTGTTAGGTGTCACCGTCACACTGTGTTTTGTAAATGACAGTGAAATTTTAGCTCAAATGTGTACAACTGACTGAATATAACTGTTTGCGCAGGCTAATGTCAGTTAGCTGTGGCAGCCATCTTAATTTGGGTTGACACCAAATGTTCATCAGTTGTAGATGTTCATCTGCTGATTACTTTCTGACACTTTCATTAAGATTTATTCAATGTTACAGTAAATATTTTGCAAAAAAAAAAAATACATCGTGTAGGGAAATATATAGACATAAATATATATATATATAT